ACACACACACACACACACACGCACACACAAAGACACACACACACACACACACGCACACACACACACAGATATGTCAGCTTTCAGATGATGCATAAATCTAAATTTAAAAAAATTGACCCTTATGACTGGTTTTGTGCTCCAGGGTCACATATGCTCTCATTCATCTTAATTTTAATTTAATTAAAATTAAACTGTCATGCTTTCACTGTGTACAGTGTACACTGTGTTTTTTCCCCCCTAAAATGCTTTATGGATGTTAACATGCAGTATTCTGATAATGCAGAAATTGTTTGACCTGCATTTTCTGTCCAACCCCGTTACCCTGACATTTCTCTCCATATTAATAATGTCTTAATCTTTCTCACATCATATTTAATGAAGACATCATTTATAAAAAAAAATCAATGAATGAATAAATTAATATGAAATAGTGAAATAAATGTACAAAATACTAAAACTTTTCAGTATAATGGATATGAAGAAACACAGACGTCCTCTCACATTTGTAATACTCTAATACAAACAGTTAAGATCAGAAAACACTATGACTAGATCACTGCAGACTCTTAATGTAGTATTACAACTCAAATGATTTTATTTGAGAGATTGATCAGCAGCGTGAGTCTGATGTGAAAGTGACTCACATGCAGCAGTTTGCAGCAGCAGCATCAGTCCAAAGATCAGCATCATTTCTCTAAAGTCCAGTCTCCAGCAGAAGAGTGTGATGCTGCTTCAGAGCGTCTGTGTTCTGGCTCTCATCAAGCGTCTTCACTGAGAGACTCACACTGGACTGACACACGAGGAAACATCTGACCGCTTCACTGAGGAAAGAGGAAGTTTCCTCATATGGGGGAAGACACATGCTGTTAGTTTGCATTACATTTACATTTAATCTAAAACAAGCGAAACTAAGAGAAAGAAGGGGTAACTCTTTATTTCGATAGTCCACTTTAGACATTCTATTAACAGATAATAAAATGTCTAAAGTGGACTATCAAAATAAAGTGTAACCAAAGAAGGAACCATTTTCAGGCACAAAAAGTTCAAAATATCTTGTTTTAGAAGCAACAAGTTTGCTTATGTTTGTTTCTAAATGATGTAAAATGACTAATTGTGCAAAACACTTTACAGATTCTCCTTTAAATCAAATGAAACAGTATCTTTACTTTGCTGATGAAATGCTGTAGACATTTGTATTGAGAGTAAAGCAGACTCAGGTCTATATGTGGTGTTTCCAGCAGGCTGTGTGTGATGATGTTTGACGATCCATCAGTTCATGTGTGAATGAAGAGAGGATTCTGAGCTTCAGTCTTCTGCAGCTGAGACTCATGGGACATTGAGTTTATAGCTGCTCAGAGCTGCTCATGTAGAGAGCGACACCTGCAGGAGGAAACTACAACTACAGCTGCTTTCATTTCACTCAGAACATCTGGCTTAAAATGAGCTTAATCTGATTTATTTGAACTTAACTTTTAATTAAAGCCACATTACGGATGCTTTTTAAGTTCAAATCAACGAATTATCTCAAAGAGACGTACATGTGTTTTCTGTACGTACGTTCATTTTATGTACAGAAAACAAATCTATGAATCGCAAATGATCTTGAACTTGCAGGCAAATGAATGGTTTCAGCTCTCTGCTTGTAAACGACTCCTAATCAGTGGTGTGTCCACAAGGGTGGCAACTGCCACCCTAAAAATGAGCTTTGCCACCCCAAAGCAGCATATGGGATTGAAGTGCATTGAGAGCGGAGCAGCGTGGTTTTGACTGAAGCTGGGATTTTTTGAAAGTCTGAGAATTTTGGTTTTCGCTCGCTCTCAGAGTGCTCCACTACCACTCAATAACTAGCACAATTAATGCCGTAACTATAGCCGTTCTAAACTAGTTCTGCCTAGTCACCTTTATTTATATAGCGCTTTTAACAATACAGATTGTGTCAAAGCAACTTTACAGTATTAAATAGGAAAA